GTGTGTGTGTGTGTGTGTGTGTGTGTGTGTGTGTGTGTGTGTTAAAACCTGACAACAAGGTGTAATGTTCGTATGTGACTTTACGTTTCTAAAATTATTCGGTTTACTCTTTTACCGAAATCCATAGAAACCCAGAGATTCTCACTCGTTACTGTTTATTGCAACACCACACCCACACACTCCCACAGCCTCAAAGGATGTAACAATTGGTCACATGTTTGCTTTGTTTCATCCGGCTAGCCTGCCAACATCCTGTTTGGGCAGGACACAAAAGTGAAAATCGGAGACTTTGGACTGGTCACTGCTGAGAACGACGACGATGACAAGTCCCCGATCAAGAGAACTGAGGAGAAGGGAACACCATCATACATGGCTCCTGAACAGGTGAGTCCGTCGACATTATTATGCTAATTTCCAGCTGCTCCATTTTATTTTTGGGTTCTACTAGAGTAGCTCTGCGTTTTTGAAAAAGTATCCTCTCTTCCTGCAGCTTAGTTCAGTTCAGCCTTCACATCTGATTAGCTGCTCCTTGCAAACAGAATCAACAGCTAGTTGGGGCTTCTGTGCTTAAAGGCAGATCTGTGTGCATGAGATGACTGCATCAGGAATAACCCTGCTCACTGATATCATACAGACCAAATAATCTGTCTTAATTAATCCTAAAATTGAATTTCTGTCTCAAAGGGATAATTTCTATATTTCGTAGTATCATAATAATCATCAGTTTGAATATATCTGTATCATTGTTATTCAAATTTATTCTACTCTTAAGTGGTTTTTGTCACTGAAGCCTTTGATGACTGGATTAGTGAAATGATGGTGACTTCATGAGTACAGGCTGTGTTGTAATAAGTCATGGTGAAGAAGAATTCAGTGTATTGTTTCCTCCACCAAGGACGTTCTGTTTTTGGTAGCGTTTGCATACGTGTTGTTCTGTCTGTAAACACAACAGCTTTAAAACGTTTGAATTTATTCTGATAAAACTTTGTAGACGTGTACAGTGGGGTCATCTTAACAACCCATTCAAATGTGGCATACATCCACCAAGTTCAAGTTTATGATTTATTGCGATGTATTTAAAAATTTACAAAAAGCCTTATAACTTAGAAACTATGATTCTTATAAGTGTGGTGTGTATCGTCAACATAAAGTATTGTAAAAAGATTTAAAATAAATCATTCTTGACCTCTGACCTCTCAAAGTTCAATAGAGTGATCAGACGTTCAATTGATGATATTGCCATAGAGCTATTTCTTGAAACTATGTTTTTATGGACAACATATAGGCATATAGGGAATCATGCAATATATTTGCCAGAAGTATTTGCTCCTCTGCCTTGACTCTCATATGAACTTGAGCAATATTCAATTCTTAATCTATAAGATTTGATATGAAGCCATTCTTTGCATCTGGACAAGCAGTGTGTTTATAGGAGTGTGTTTATTGAAAACTGGCTCACATTTACCGCTCTCATCTTTGTGTGGGGGTTGAGGTCAGGACTCTGTGCCAGCCAGTCAAGTTCTTCCACACACAACATGCTCATCCATGTCTTAATGGACCTTACTTTGTTCGCTGGTGTTGGAACAGGAAGGGTTTATCCCCAAACATTTTCCACAAAGTTGGGACTGTAAAATTGTCCGAAGTTTCTCATTATGCTGAAGCATTAGGAGTTCCTTTCACTGGAACAACTTCCTGAAAACCAACCCCACGCCTCCACCAGACTTTACACTTGGCACAGTGCAGCCAGACAAGTACCATTCTCCTGGAAACCACCAAGGTGTGATTCGTCACACCAGAGAACACGTCTCCACTGCTCTAGAGTCCAGTGAAGGCGTATTTTACACCACTGCATCTGACACTTTACATTGTCCCTGGTGATGTAAGGCTTGGATGCAGCTGCTCAGCCATGAAAACTTATTCCATGAAGCCGCATTGATTTTAAGCTAATCTAAAGGCCACATGAAGTTTGGAGTTCTGTAGAAATTGACTCTGCAGAAAGTCAGCAACCTGTGTGCACTGTGTGCGTCAGGATGTGACTGGAACATCTGAATTCAGTGATTTGGATAAGTGGTTTAGTACTTTTGGCAATACAGTGTATAAAGAGATTCTAAATAACACATTACTTGAGCTCCGATTCCTTCAAAGTCAAATGAGGTCAGACTTTTATAAAATGTCTTTAAAAATATTTAAAACGTTGCTTAAAATTGTACTGTTTGTTTATACGTTTTCAATTTAGGAAATGATACTGGTATATGTGGCTTCTAAATATCACATTATAGTTTACATCCAAATATGTCACATTTAACCTTTTGACCTCACTTTTGCATTTTACATCTGCATTTCTTTCACGACATATTATATCTTTAAAGAACACGTCAAGAAAAAAAGATTGAGCTGCTTAGTTAGTTAGAAAATTGTATTATTACATAATTAGCCCGGGGCTCTAATTTCTCAATGATGCAACTAAAAAAAAATCATCCAGTCATTTGATTAAAAAGAAGAAAAAAAAGTCTCTGCTACTCTGAAAGTCTCCATGTAATCAACAGCAAATGCACATTATGCCCCTATCGTGGTCTAAACCAATCAGAGATAGTAAGGGAGAGGACCTCTGATTGGTCCTGGTCCAGATATTCCTTTCGGCCTACGTGTGTGTACGTTTGAAAGTTTAGGTGGATAGACGGGTGAGTAGTAGGGCTGGGTTTCAATAGTCGATTTTCCAATTGAAGTGGATTTTAGCTTGAATAACGCAACGTTGATTCATTAAATCCTGAATCAATTTTTAAATATTGTTTTTTGCCAGAAAAGCCAGGAGCTCACAAAACTATTTGAACAACCACCAAACAGATAAAACAGTAAATGAGAGCAAGTAAACCGATTCCACACAAAGCCGTAAACAGAGCGTGGAGCCGACGTATCGGTGAGATGACGGCTTTCTTACCTGATGGCACGAACCCGTCGGGGTTGAAAGTCGTCAGCTCACTGATTCTGAGCAACAAATTTTGTCCGTCTTCGACCAAAATGTACTTCAAGAACAGTTTCCCATCTCAAATCTGTTTTCTATATTATTCGTTTGCTTATTCCACACCAGTTTACCGTTGTTTACAGTGCTGTCGGGCGCTGTTTTTCTCTTTCCCCCCAAAATGACCTCTGACCAGAAATCCTTAATTTTGCTGTTTAATACTTTGGTATAATTTCTAAAAAAAAAAATTGAAGAAAATTGAAAAACGCTTAGCTTGCAGAATAATTTTAAGGTGGTTATCTGATATAAAAAGTCAGGCCAGGAAAATCTCTTTCATGTTTTCTGTGTTTTATCCTCAGTTACTTTGACACAAAGGCATCTGCTGTGATGCTTACATCCCTGATGAAGTCTCACAAGTGTCAGTACTGATAAATGATCAGATTTATAATATTTCTGACTGAGTCAAAATTGAATTTAATCAAATCAATTATAGAAATCAGTGACAATACCCAGCCCTAGTGAGTAGCCTAAGCCCTACAGAAGTGGATGTAGCTGTTGGGTAATGACAAGATGAAAAATGACTGAAAACACATTCTATGCCGCGATAAATGCAAGTGTCCCCTCTTCCCACTGCCTCTAAACTGCAGGCAGCAGCGAAACAGGTTGTCAGAGGAGGCCGAGATGATGATTAAGTGTAACATTACCTACAATACTGCCAAAGCGCTTTAAGCACAAGCACTTATTCAGTAACTTATCTTTCTTGTAGAACTGCGCTCCAAAAAAAGAACTTTGTGTAAGATTGTTACAAATTAATATTGCCTGTATGGACAGCAACCCCCCCCCCCCAAAAAAAAGTGCACATGTAAAAACTGCAGTGTTAATTGATGCGGTTGAAAAATTTGGGTGTGCCTAACTTTTGTGTTGGTGGACCTAAGAAGAACAAACGTTAGGCGCACAGTGCAACCGTGGGAAAAAAGTTAGTCTAGAGCTCTGTAAGCTCAGGTTATTCATGCCCAATTATTTACAAATCAGTACCGATTAATACTTATTAACCATGCTTACAGAATTTCTATATGCAAAATGCAGTACTATTCCCTTAAATGTAAACACTGACCAGAGAGTGAGCTGCCTTGGTGGAGGTTTGTGCGCTCAGTGCTTCTTGTTATTAATGCTGTTTAACTGCTTTAACACAGAAGGGCAAGAACTACAGCAGAAAGGTTGACATATTTGCTTTGGGGCTGATCTACTTTGAGCTTCTTTGGAAAATCTCCAGTTGTTATGAAAAGTTCAAGGTAGGTTGCTGTGCATGGTAGCTCATAATCTGTAGAAGGTCAAATGTTTTGTCTTTAACTATTCATTAGAAATTTCCTGAACTATATTTCTGAATTTCAGACATGGGAAGACATCAGGAAACGGAAGCTTCCCAAAGAATTTGCATCCACCTTTGACTGGGAGGTACATCAACGTTTTCTCAGTGTATTAGCAAATTTCAGTGTGCATTTCTCACGACATGTGCTGGCAGAGTAAAGGCTGTGATCCAAAACCTCAATTTTTTGGGGTCACTTAGAAATGTATGCGTTTGATTTTAGATGGATTATTTACATCAGGTAACAGAAGACAATTTCCAGCAAACACCTCTCCAGTATTCCAGTGTCTGAAAGGCTAATTAATCATTAGAAAAGGCCTTTTTTTTTTTTTTAGTTGTCACGGAAGCAAGGAAAGTCTGTGGAGCATCAGGACGTTCAGGATCAAACATCTGATGGCGATGAGAACAAAATCAGAAAGGGATGATCATCATATTTAGGGAAATAAGACTCTGGATTTAAAAGATATACACTTAGTGGAAAATGTTGTTGAAGTTGAGCGCTAGAAATGGTGCAGATGAAAGATTGTTTCTAATATTTTATTACTCTTTTTATGCTACAGTACATCACCATCAGATCAATGCTGAGTATGAATCCCGAAGACCGACCTGAAGCGTCTAAGGTCATAACAGACCTGGAAGAGTGCGCTAAACGGATAAACGCTGAAGAAATAGCGCGTCGTGGAAGGGCCACTGTCTAAATAGCGGGAATACAACAGAAGAATTTCATCTGCACATGGGGGGGGGGAAGATCCATTGGTGCTCTTGAATGACTTTCAGAATAATGTCAAATATTCACATGCAACTTAAAATCATAAATGATCGTTTTTAGAACATACCACCAAACATTGAAGCTACAGCAACCTGTAGTTTTCATTTTAAAATTTAAATGACCAGTTCTGCCCATCCTTCCAGGAAGTGTGCAAACCATGCCATTTGACACATGACTAGATATTTTATTGATCACATATTGAATTTACAGTTGCAGGATAAAGAATAAGCATAATATAATATTTTATATTACCACCGGTCCATACTGACTTTTCTTAAAAGTAATGTAGTATGTTACTTAATTACTCGCCAGAGAAAGTAATTTGCTGCACTGCTAGTTGCATTACTTTCGCATTACACCATAAACACACCAACACAAATTTGTGCCCTAATGAGGACACGTGTACAGTCTGATAGTTTTTAGGTATGAACAAAAAGCCGACAACACAAAGCAAAAACACTCAAACATTTCTACTGTAAAATCATGAACAGGTAGAAACAAAACGTCACGATGATTCGTGGTTTGATGAGACTAACTGCTCATCAATGTCTGTTACCTGTTGAAGTTCAGGCTCTGACCTCTGAGTTGGGGGTCGGTAAACTCCTCCATTGCAGTCTGAGGTGCACTGGGATGTGAAGCTTGGAGAAAAATCCTCAGTTTTTCTGACAATCCTTTCTTTTTTCTGTCTTTCTTCTGTCTTAATTTATGTCATTTGCATTTTTAAAAAAATCTTTTTGTCTTTTGTATACTTTCTATATGCATTTATGTCTGTGCGTCACCTGGTGATTGCACAGTTTCCTCTTTTGAGTAACGTTTTCTAAGTCAAATAAAAAGAATTTTTGTTGTTGTTGTTGTCTTTCGTTCTTTGGCCTGTAGGGGGAGCTGTGGCACTGCATAGGTCGGGCAGTTCAAATTGCGGCTGCAGGCTCCAGGCCCTGTCTGCCTGTGGGTAAGAGAGGTTTATTCACAGTGAGGGGGCCAAAGCTGAGGGCGCTGCGTGACATTTAATCATGCCCCTGGCGCATGCTGGATGATTAACATCTCAGTGGAAAACCGCAGTAACAAGTGCCAAACGCAGGATCCCACACAATCACCTGGACCCGGTGCCCACAGTCACATGGGCCCGCTAATCAGCACAAATCAGCTCCTGCAGCTCAGTATGTTACCTCAACAATCTCCACAGTGCAAAGAGCCTTAAAATTTGCTTGCCGCCTGTGGAGAGGCCATAGGTGAAGGACTGATTTCTGTCTTATCAGCTACAGCACTACCTCATTGTGACAGCAGCAGTAAAAGAGGGGAAAGCTCCTGAAAGAAACCACGCAGATCCAGATCCTTATCCTCTCAGCAGTGAACATGGGATATTTTAAGCCTCCCTCACTGATCTTCCCCCCTAGACCTTGGGAAGACTCTTGTAGCCTGCATGAATGACTTACAGTAACTTGCAGCTGTTGGTGTTTGCTGAGAAGTGTTAGTAATGCTACTTAAAAGATTTTTAACCACACAAAACGGACACGAGTAATATTACAGTTCCTTTTTTCACGATGTGATAACTTCGGATATAGAGGCACGTTTGTCTCGGCCCGATAAAGCCCAATATGTTGCATCTCCTGTGAAATATTTGGCTCTTTATTTATAGACACATGTTCACAACTGACCTGACTACAAGGACTAAACGGGTGCTGTGTGGAAGCAAAAAAAGGCCTTAAGTGAACGTGAGAAAAACATTTTGTTGGAATCCATTCAAATTTATAAAAGCATCGCGATCTGTGATATGTAACTCAACCACACTTAGTGAGCAAATGGAAAAAGATTTGCACAAATAGCAGTATTGCAGGTTCATTGATAAAATCAGTACACGCAAAACGTGTACGTGTGTCCATCCAAAAGTTAAAAAACAAAAACATCACTTCACTATCAGATCACAGAGCTGAGGTTGGGCCACCTTCACAGTGTGTGGCTGCAATCAGGCTTCATCTTTGTAGTGAACAGTGTGAATTCACAAACCCAAACAACCATCTTATGTAGTCTGCATTTTACAAATGACTCTTATCATCAATAAAATCATTACTTCTTTACTGTGGATTGTAGCACTTAGACACAATTAGAATTTTGTTGCTATTTTCTATTCATTGCCTTTAAATTCTTATTTTTTTCAATTACAATCCAAAATTATTCAAGCCAGTCGACTTTTCTTTTTTTACTCTGCAGATGTCATTTAGATAGCGACTGCATGAGAAAACTTTGAGCTGTTCTTCCTGTGACATTTACACCACCAAAACAATGTACTTTCTCATTTTAGCAGCATCTAAGATAAGAAACCTGGTGTGTCTCCAATCTTCTGCAGCTGTCGCGCTCCTGCGAGCAGGCTTATTGGATGTATTGAGGTCACTTCCTCTGAGAGCACTGTGGGCATTGAAGCAGTGCTTCTAGTCAGTGGCTTGAACCATGTTGCCGGGGGTAAAATGGACTCACAAGTCAGAGTGTCTCCCCACAGTCCCCGGGGGTCGGGCCAAACGATTACTCTGTGCGTAGCCTCATTTCAGAAGCAGCAACCAGAGTTTGCTTTGCTCTGTGCGCTTTAGAAATCAGCTCTGCTGCAAAGACAACGCTGTTGCCCACCTGCAGACCTCAAAATGAAACGTGACAGTTCAGAATACATGTGACCGGTGAGATATGGATTTGTCATCTCCCCCTGCCTATGCATATATTTCAGAAGTTCCTGTTAAATTATAGCTCACTTAACCTTTGGTGCACTCAGGTTAACTGGAGCATGAGCGCATGCTGTGTCTTGCCCGAGGCTCCACTTGGCTTTTACGCTGTGCTTTCCACCTCTCCAGAACCACATCCAGCCACCGTCCACTCCACTCAAGGAACGCTGTAGGGTTTAAAGGGCCACACCTGTGATTTTTCAGCATGCTGTTATGTTACATGCTGGCAAAAGATTTAAATGACTATACAGCTTGCAAGAACTTTGCTGCTCTGAATTCTGTACTATGTATACATACACGTACATCCTGGCAACACTTTTCCAGTCTTGTGTTTCCCAGTTTTGGTGAGGCTGTGTGAACTGTAGCCTCTATTTGTGTTGTGCATTGACAGATGCTCTTGTGCCTTCCTATCAGCTCAAAGCAGTGTGGCCATTCTCTAACCTCTGGCATCAACATCCACATCCACAGATTTTCTCTTTTTTGGACCATTATCTGTAAACCTCAGAGACGCTTATGTGGGAAAACCCTTTATTTTCCATTCTGATGCTCTCATTCGGATTTTCTGTTGCTGTCTCAAACGTGTCTGCCTTTTTGCAGTCGGCTGATTTGATATTATCAGTAACAAGCAACTGAGAAAGTCTATTTAGTGAAGTGGCTGGTGAGCAGGGGGAAATTATAATGCAATGTAAGAGCAAATTATTAGCACTCAGCACTTTTTCTTAACATGTACATGATTTCTGGCTCTTCTGGTTTTAATGGACCGTTTCAGTTCATGTTTATTAGCTCTCCTAGCAGGTCACAACAGGCAGCTGCTTCACACCCTGAATCCTTAGATAACCACATTTAAAGTCCCAGGTAATAAATTCACAAGTTGAAGTAAATGAGTTTAAACATGGAGTCTCTCTGAGAGTCATTTTAAGTTACAGTGTAACCCTTTAACTGGGTGTCAAACAGGGACAGGGCTACAGCTGGGAACATCAGTGTTTTGTCTCCTGCACATGTTCTAATTTAACGATTTCATCCGGTTACTTTATAAAAAATACTACACATGGTGAGCACCTCCTGTGGTACTTTCCAGGCGCTTTCCAGGCAAATCTGAATCCTAGAAAGTGTTCCATCTTCACCATAAGTAAAGTCATATATAAAAATATGTAGTTGTGTATCAAGATGTGTTGTGTTATTCAGTATCATGGTCTCGGTATGAAATGTCTTTCCAAACCCCGGCTGTTGTCAGATTTACCCTAGGTGTCATCAGCTCAAAGGTCGCCCTAATTAGAAGTTGTGAAGGGACCTGTTTGCGTCATCATTGCACAAAGTCAAGGCTTTTGTTGTTTCCTTGCAAAAGTTGAACTACTAGATGAATGAGTACGGTGACCTCGAGAAGTCAAACGGACTGCACCTTAAGAAAACACCAGCAAATAGAAAAATACTGTAAAAGGACACAAGACTCAACAGAAGTTGAAAAAAAAAAAACCCCACAAATAAATGAGAACAAACTTGAACAAAACACAACAGAAGTGTTTTTGGGGACGCAACAACAGGACAGAGCGGCTGCGGAGGTGACAGAAACCAAAACGTTAAGGATCGCATTGAGGTACGCTTAAAAGAAGGGAGGGTCTCATTGGCGTTGTAAGGGAGGAAAAGATGGAGGTAATGCGTGTTTTAATTACATGATTCATATCATACTATTAGCTTGTAAATTCCACCGCTGTTCCCTCACGTTGTTGTCGCTTCCGTTTAGTTTCGGGTTGTTTTCTTTCTGTTTCCGTTGTGTTTTGTTTGCTTTTGCAGCGTTTTTTCCATTTGCTGGTGTTTTCTTAATTTCCCACCATAAACGAGTGGTTATACTGAACACAGGACAAAAGTTCTGCCATTGCTTTTATGTTCAAGCCGTTACATCTGAGCTGCGATTTGAAAGGAAAACACCTCATTCACTCAGACCCACCTGATTCAGCTCTAACTGGCAGGTCCGCGCATTACATCCTCTTCCCAACGCCTACAGTGAATCCTCCCCCGAGTTCTTGTACTCTGGTTACATAAAACCTATTCACAGGAGAACTCCCAGACGGCCTGTGGCGGGTCCATAACTGCGCTGACAAATCAAAGACAACTGACTTTTCAGATCTGGCTCCACGTCAGCCAAATATTCAGTGGAGATTTTCCATCCATTCTCACTTGTTATATTTATCCCTCCAAAATACCAGCCCGCTGTCTCCTGAGAGCAGGCCTGTCAGAGGTAATAATGCACATCACATGATTTTAGCTGCTGCTATTTATCACTGCTACAGAGACTTCTCTTTTACCTCTTGACTTGGTTTGAAATTTTGAAAAGTCCCTAAACTCTAAGGTATGTTCACTGTAAAGAGTTGTGATTTCTTTTTTACAATGATTTTCTAAAGATGGTCCCGTTGTTGCAAAAAATGAATACCCTGTTTGCGTAAATTTGGTGAAATTGGTCTAACGGTGTGTTTTGTTGCTTTTATGGGCACGTGGATACAAGTGAGATGCATGTGTGGGCATGCGTCCTCTTTTCTTGGCAGGTGTGCGTTTGTGCTTCAGCTGAAGGGGCTGTCACACCAACTAGATTTAGGCTGCCTTGTGTAACTCTGCGTGGGTTTGTAATTTACTACAAATGATAGCGCTTTCTCTCTGTTGACAGCCACCCCACACAGTCCATCCAACAAAGTCGTTTGGTGGCTTCCTGTCCTCAAATGCTTGGCATCTTGGTGCAGTGTCCCCCTTATCTTGCAGCTTTGAAGGTCAAGAGAATGATGCCAAACTCACCTGGTAAATCTTTAATAAGTCAAAGAGTCAGCCCCATCTGGAGTTCAGCAGTTCATCGTAGAGCAGCAGGAGGGGGGGTAGGCGGCAGCGTGTCTGGAGGATCCTCTGAAAGCCTGCGCAGCCAGTTATTCCCCTGTTTCCTTTTTGCAAAAACGACACCTTCTGACAGCCCAGCTGTTGTGCCGATTTCATGCCCACAGGAAAGACGTGTGTGAGGTGATGCAATCATGATGTTAGAGTGGATTTCTCATGCAAGCACAAAGAAAGAGAAGGCAAAACCAGAGAACAAGAAGAAAATGAAGGTTTCTTAAACCACAACCAACGTGCTCTGCGGAGAAAAAGGCTTTATCAAACAAGGTTCGAGCTGAAGATTACAACACTGCATCCACTGCAACCGCCAACGCTAATGTTGTTTACGGCTAGACGGATTCTTCCAAATCGAGGACAGAGACATCCTCCTCGTTGCTGTCATAAATATATCACAGCCGTGGCGAAAACCAGACAGCCTGCACTTCTTCAAAGACTGTGAAGTTACAGTTTTATTTGCCATTAAATGATTCACAGGGAAGTATCTGCTTCTGCTCCCCGCACCTGCAGACTGAAGCCGTGAGATAGGATTCAAGCTTTTCCTCTCCGTGCTATTAAAGGCTGTGTGGTGAAGTGTTTATAGTTGACAAATTAGAATATTCAGAGCTGAAAGGATCAAGCAAGGTGACTTTGTTGCGTAATTTGAATGATAAGTGACAATAAATCTGGGTTTTCTCTGTTCTTTTATCAGGCTTTGCAGGGGAAATAAGACGGGGAGGTGGGGGGGAGCAGGCAAGCTCATCAAACCGGCAGATGAATCGAAAGATAGAGTGAATCGACGGGAATTAATTACTTTAGTAATGTTTGTGGATTCATGTTTGCTTCCTTCTCTTTGTGTCAGTAGTAATTACGCAGGCACCTATGGGAGAGGCAGGGAAGGGAGATGAAAGGCGCCGTGAAACCAGGACACGAACAAAGCCAGAAACAGAAAGAGGGGGCCAACGCTTGAACACCATGCCATGACAGACAGCCTTTGGGGCTGTTTTATTCAGCTGCCAGGAGCTTTTTAGGATTCGTTTTATCTGCTCTGCCTTCCCACCCACCCACACGCCCACCCCTCTGGATGGTGCTCCAGATGATTTGTGTCCAGTTTGGCTTCACTCGAGCCAACACAGCCTCTAAAAGCAGACACACTCTGCCTCCTTCCCTGCAATCAGCCCTGCCTGTCTTGCGTTTGAGAGCTGTTAAACCTCTTTTCTGCGTGAGTGGGTTAGCTCGTGTTTAAGTGAAAAGGTCCCCTTAGGTTGTACGTTTTTAAAGATGAATTTAAAATCGACTCCATTTTTTTCCCTTTCCTTTGAAGGGTGTCTCACACGGAAAATATTCAGCAGTGCACATCACGACTTACTTGCAGATGCAATGCATGTTATGATTAAAGGGCTAACCACAATAGCGGAGGTTTTTGATGGAGGAGGTAATACCACCAGCAATTTTCATCACACAGTCACGTATTTACACAGCGTTGCCTGTTTCCTTGTTTTCCCTCCTTTAAAAAGTGATTTCTCTTAAATCGGCCCTAACTGGTTGGTGTAATTTGATAGTTGAGATGCTTCAGAAGCCGTGGACCGAAGGACAAAGCCAGACTCAAGATTTCAAACGCCGCAAGTAATTCACAGCGAGGGTCGGGGAATGAGGCTGATCACATATCCATTCAGAGACAATGCTGCCCTAGACATCTGTATTGATCTTTATTGGAAAAGAAGCCTTTTCTGTCTGGTACCTCCAAAAACAACAAATCAATTGTTGTGTGAGTGTGTACATCACTTGAAGGTTGCATTTGATTCCAGCGGGGTTAGTTTTAGTTGCTGATATTTTTCAGGATCTTTGTAAATTTCTTTTTATTATTATTTTAATTAGTAAAATAGTTGCCTATGTGCTGCATTGGAAATTTAAAGCATCAAACTATTGCTAACCTCTGTTCTTTATATTTTTATTAACAAAATAAATATCTCAATTCTCATCAAAGGTCATAAAAATGAAATGAATTCAAGGGCAGACAGTCGCTCCCGTATATAAAAGTCAGCGTATAACCTGATAAGATGCTCTTTAGGGACGAATGCAGTCGAATTAAATTCATTGCACACCACATCTGGCCTCTCAAAAATCCTTTTAGAGATGGCTGAAAGTCTCCGCTGCTGCCACACGGCTCCTGTGTTCTTCATCAGACCCAAATTAGTGGCATTACACTCAGAGAGCCATCTCATAAATAGATTTCTTGTTGTGTGTGAAGCCTCATAGGGGAATCGGTGCACCATGTTGCCATCTGTCTTTGTACTTCCAGCCTCCGGAGCCACTTTCCCAGAAATCAACACCCTGTGGTCTGAATCACACTTGGCATTCTGTCGTCCGCATTTCTTTTTTGTCCCCCCACCACCTCCCAAATTGAGGTTTGTAAGCACTATCAACAGAGAGCATGCTGTGCTTGGTCATTACAGGCATGTCAGTCTTCAGAGAACATTGGAGATAATGTCGTCCCTAAGAGTCTTTTTGTGCCGTATTATCACCAGCAAACGACACACAGAGACACGAGCGGTACCTTGTTTCACTGGAAGGGGGCTTGCTGCAGTGCATGTTGGGCGATTAGTTAGTGACATCACATCCATGTCTTTGGAACATTTTTTTGTTTGGATCCTCTTTATAAGGGCTCAATAAAAATCAGCAGGCTCTCGAGGTGTGGGTGGCAGATGTGCATTCAGAGGTTGAAGCTGTGAAAAGCAGATGCATCACTTCTTTAGCTACACTGAGGCATATTTTATATTACCAGTATATTGCATTGTTTATGTAAAAGACTGAGTCATTTAAATGCAAATCCAATGCAACATTTAAAAATAAGTTTGAACATCTGTTTACAAAGAAGCAGCACTAGCGAAGAAACTAGGTCTCTCTTCTGAGGAACCATATCCCAGTTTGGATTCGGGAGACAGTCACCATGTGAGAGTTGATCGAGTGGTGGAGGCGGAAATAAACTGTTCAGAAGGCCAGTATTTTTATTATATCCTTCACATCTGTGATCTAATGTGTCATATATGCAGTGCAGCCAACTAAAGAAGAAATCAAAGACTTTACAAAGGGAAAAAAGGAAAAATAACTCAAAGATAATCCTAAACTAAGCAGAGACAGCTCTGCACTTGGCTGAACCCCTTTAACGAGGGCTCCTGACAATAAGCCATTATGATCGATGATAGTCCCATGATGCGCTGAGTGCTTCTAACCCTTTTTTACTCTAGGTTTATAAACCACTTTACATTCAGTCATTAGTTATTGGTAACCTCTGCCTATCTTTCAGTCTGTCCTTTGTCCCGTCTTCCTCTCCTGTGTTCCTCCCCTCACCACTTTTAACTCAAAAGTACAGTTTTTAAATTTAATGTTGCTGAAACAACAAAGTAATAAAAAATAAATCTATCTGATCGAGAAATCACTCATCTTTGGAAAAGAGAGTTTATTACAGAGAAATGGCTCTTTCCAAAATAAAAGCTATACTATACGCTTCTTCTGGGCTATATTCTCAGCAGCATATTAAACATATCAGGTCCCCATAAGGAGAATCTGTGCTAACGGCTGTCTAAATGACTCGGGTAAAGTTTGTAGCATGCGTGCTTGTTGTTTTTGTCTGCTTCCACTTGTCTTTGCACTAGGATGATGTCGGGTAAATGTGCAGTCATATTCGTTGTGTTCCCACTAGTGCTGTCAGCGTTAATCTGAAATGACGTTAACGCCACAACACGGCAAATCTCCGTTAACGAGCTACCGCGGATCGCCCCGTGCGTGGGGCTGGACGGCGTCAACTAACGTTAACGAGCTAACTGCGCTAACGCACTAGTTCCCACCATGTAATTGAGCATTGCGTGGCACATCCAACATACTGTTTTACTTTTGTCCATGACGCGCTTACCTTCAGGGTCATACGTCACATGAAAACCAAAATAGTTCCAAAGGCCAGATCTGAATGAGGGTGGGGGAGGTTCAATTTGCCATGTTGCAACGAGCTTAGCTTCTGTCTTGCTAGCTTGCGCTGCGCTCAGTGGATCTGCGCTCGACAGTGCAGCCTAGGCGGAGTAGTCGAACGCAGATCCACTGAGCTCTCAACACAGACAGCATCGTCAGAAGAAAAGTTGATAAAATAAATAAAAATTTGTATTGTTCGATACATATGCGTACCGAACCGAAAGCAAGCTGGATTTCCTCAGATCCTACAATCTCCCTCCATGAATAAATATCATACTATCACTCCATCATTGACCTCTCAGCACCTGGTTACATTGCTGTTCTGGGTGCCTGTGAGGACAATGTCTGGCTTTACTGAACCTCCCGGGAAGTTACTGGCCAAATTGGCCGAGTCCATTTGGAACCACACACCAACTTGGCCTCGCAGTGGAGTGGCACTCGGATATTTGGTGTGCTCACTTCTAACTGTGCAATAGCAAAGAACGCTTTGGCAACAAAGACCACCCCCCATCACTCCATTGTGCCTTTTTTCTCTCTATTTTACCAGTGCCAGCGCCAGCCTGGTGGGACTACAAGGGTACAGAAAAGCCATATTTGGACTGCCTCTCTTTGGTTTTTTTTCCCTTAACACAGTTAGACTAATTCAGTGCAGCAGCTGTAATCAGACAAATCTTTATTTAACCTCCTAAAACCTGAACTCTTCCATGGCATGAATTTTTAATTTCTCTTTGATATTTGGGCACGTTGGGACCTGATGAATGTAAAAACAAAGAATTTCCAGATTTTTTTTTACCAGATTTTTGTTTCTGAGAGATATGAGATCCACATATAAGGACATTTATTTTAAATTTTGATAGAACAGTTGCAGTATAATGTCCTCGTATCTGGATATCAGGCCCTTGTAGAGCAAAATGTATTATTTTGGTCTAGACCAGGCAAAATGTGATGTCCACATACGTGGACGCCAGGTCCTAGGAGGTTAAGGGCACCATGCAGATTACATTATATAAACATTATATTCTGAATGATGTTCAGTTTAGGAAAAAACACCTGGGTTTACTCACTGCAGCAGGTCCACCAGGGGGCACTGTTGTTCCAGCCTACGTCCCATTCTAAAACCTGGAGAACAGAAGAGGTAGAGCTGTCTACCACCTGATCTGTGTTTGTTTCCTCACTTTGTAAGATAATGGCACAATATTCTTATCCAATCTAAGCTCTACCTGGATAAGGAGACGGATTGCATGTCACTTTCCCTCCTGCAACAAATGAAATCAGAATGCATTTATAGAAAAATGGATAACCCTTTCACAATCCCATACAACTACTGTATGGCCAAAACAGGAAATATGGCACATGTTGACTGTAGGATATATATCATTTCGGGGGGCGAATAATGGAACAATCGATAGCACGCCTGATCCTGAATGATAACCACTCTGCTAATAGAGCTGACGAGCTCATTTGAATTACGGTTGCATTACCAGAGGAACGCTGATCCGCGAGAGAACAATGGATTCAGTCCAGAGAACATAGCAGTGATATGAGCATGTGTAATTAGTTACAGGTTACATGTGTTGTCTATATTTCTGAAGCGGAGCTCGAAGCATCCAGATACTGGATAATGTGCTGTATAATTTTCTCGACCTTGCCCTGACTATTTTATCGCGTTGGCCTCCTCAGAATCTTTGATTGGCCTGCCCTCCACCACCACCACCAACACCGCCGCCGCCGCATCTCACCTTCGCCCCCTTTCACTACTAGTTAAATCCACTCGCTTCTCAGGTATTTGAATATGGATGCCATCTTTCACGGTGTTATTGGCCTGCTTCTCCCTTCCCCGTCCTTCATTTTACAAATGATCTCTCAGCAGTAATGAGTACACGTCTAAAAATACCCTCCTTGTCCAGAGAGCTGGATGTGTCGTCGTGCGTACTGGGCTTTAACAGATGTTAATGGTTATAGAACATCAGAGCGGTGTAATGAATAGAGGCGCAGCTACTGCGACTTCATTTAGAGCGAATATTTTAAGATTCAACACGCATCCTCACCCACCCATTGAAATTCCTCAACCATGGATTCAGTTTAGTCACCCCCTCCCTCACAACCCCTCCTGGCTACCTTTTTAACACACCGGTGGTGTTCCCCATTGCTATGGTAACACTGCGTGACCTTTACCGGGGAGGTCGAGCTCATGTCAGTGTGTTGCTGAAAGATTTCATTCCAGCTCTCCACTCATTTGTGGTCCTTGCAGTTGGAAATGTGGTGCGATTTGACGGATGAGGGAAGTTTTCTTATTGGACTTGATGTTCGGGGTGTAGGGGGGAAGGTAAGGTGATGGATGAAGCCGTCACCTCCCTCTTCTAATTAACTGACAGGGTCCCCTCACTGTCCACATTAAGTTCAAATGGCTCAATTTGTGGATAAATGTGTAGTTTGCTTGTGCAGCTTGTTTGCTTTACCCAACATTTGCCAAACAGGTAAAAAACAAAGCAAACTTAGATCAAGTTTATCTTTGCGACCTTCTTTGAGGCCACTCAGCAGTCAATATTGGAGAGGTGACCAGCTAGACTACTGTCAATGGCAAGCGGCTACTGTAAGCTATGGATTTGGCCATGAATTTGCAAATAAAAGTGCTATATACGTGTCTGAATAGGCTAGACTCTCCTCACAGTCTCAAAACCCGTCAGCTAGTGTGCTGGCTCTCTTTTGTTTGGACTTCTGGATATCTGAATAATGGATATGTGGTTCATGACTTCCTGCTCCATGTGGCAATCATCATTTATGAAAGCAGAACCTGAAGGTATAATTAATACAAGCTATAATCAAAAGCTAAACCTCTGTGAGGATGGCTGATGGCTGGGAGATATCAAACGTGATTGGTCAACAGAACTTAAACTACAAGAAAAGCTTGCGGAGCCAAAAAATCTGATCCCTAACTTATGGATTCTGCATTTTCATATGCAAATAATTGGAATATTGCCATAACAATGTATTGAAATTTACTAATAATTTAAATAACTGTCTAATTAGTCTTTTTTGCAGTTCTTAATTTGCACCATGAACACTCCACAAACTCAGCTATAGATGCATTTTAATGATAGGATTATTGCTTTTTGCTGTTGTTTAATTTTTCTAAAGATAGCACCGTTATCATGAATGGTTTTTGACCACAAACACTAGGAAGTGAAAATCTAATCTCACGATAGTCCCAGCAGATATCTGCGTATAGAGAATACGCTTCTCAGCTGACCAGGCCTTTGCACATGATAACACACTGTACTGTGCTTAATATGTTTAAAGATAGCTGCTAGGTTACATAATAGTTGTAATACTTCCATCACATCATTGGAAATTCACCTTTTCATCCTTTTATTTGGTGACAGAATAAAAAAATTCACATTTCAGTACATCCTGCTGACGTAGCTAATCTGAGTTTATGCTGAAATTTCCCAGTTCAGTGAAACAGAGCTTATAGTGACATTAAGAGTCGATTAGTTTGCCGCAGCTAAATAAAGGATGAAAAGAAAACAGGGGAAGTCAAAAGTTTAATTGGTGCTTGCAACAGCTACAAAAACTTTTCTCTAGGAAAGCAAACAGAACTACGTCAAGTGGTTTGCACAGTTGGATCACACCAAGAAGGTTTTGGCTTCACCCTAACCTGGATAAGCGGTTAAAAAGATGGATGGATGAATAAGAGTGGTGAGAAGCCTCTAAAAAAAATAGAAGGAAGGAAAAAGCCCCTTGCTTGGTTTTGATTTCTGGAGCAAATATCTGGAGCACTAACATTAACTCTAAGTCTCCTTTCATGATTTAAGTGGTAAAGGATGGTCCTTTTAAACTAGAAATGCAAGGCAAAATAATAAGATTGGAACCACATGCCTGTTGGGAACAAACTAGTCATGCTTTCATCTGAATCAGGCTTAGTTGACGAGGCAGTCTGCAGTCAGATAGCAATAATTTGAGTTTACAAACCTAGACTTTACACGGTGATAAATGATGACTGTGTTACCACGTGGGGAAAACACTGGATGATTTCATCGGGCCTCTGAGTTCACTACGACCGGCTTATAAGTGCCAACCCGGCAAAATGTCTGCAGAAGTAGAGTCAGCTGTGAGTGGGACCCCACACCTACCCTTTCTTCTCTCTCTCTCTCTCTCTCTAGGATGGAGACATGGAGACCCCAACCCCCACCACTAGCACCACCTCCGTTTCCTTACCGAGGGTTAGAGTCTAACTCAGACAAGATGCTGAATGTTCAACAGCCTCCTTTTCTCATTTGTGGTACAGACCTAGATGAAAAAGCAGTGAGCAGTAGGAGCAGACCTCTCTGAAAGCGTTTCATTAGATATTACAGTCTAAGCTTCCTCCAAGG